TCATTTGTCAGGTATTGCAGCTTAGTAGGAGTGAGGAGTAACGACACATTTTTAATTGGATAATGTGTGATCTGGAGCGTTCCAAACATTATAGGTCGGGAAAATTATGAGTTTATTTTTCGTTGGGATATTCGCTGGTTGAGTGTATGGAACAAGCTAATGTTGCTGTCTTGTCCTGATTTCCACGTTCTTCAGACTTATACCCCATGTGTAGGATACGATAATATTTTCCGGATGCCAGAGACCATATAGCAGACGAGGTATGAAATGCGGTTGATATAGGATCAATTTCCTCCTGATACAGCATTTCACTGAATTAGGCCAGGGAATAGAGTAGATTTACCTGTTAAAAATTAGAATAAAGCTTGCATTTTTTTAGGAGCTCTATGGAAACGGCTGGTTTGAAATGAACAATTCTTATCTAGTCGTCATCTAAAGGATGTTTTTAACAAAAAACCCCATGAGAGTATTACTCTAGTATTTATATTTTACATTCTAGAGAAAGTGTCCTGAAGAGAGGCATGTCTTATCATTGAAGGCCATATTTTGCATAGTTTTCATTTCGCAAGCGCTATGGGCCGAACGGTTGGTCATTTTGAAATTTTTAAAATACATTTTACAATAGTCGATAGCTTGACAATTAAAGGAATGGCGAGCGCTCAGAATCGGCTGATGTTTGTAAATTTCATAAAAGTTGCCCCTATTTTGTTAACACTTATAATTTCCCTTGAAAACCGATTAGAAATAAATACTTCCTGACAATCAATGAGAAATTTAGTCTAATTCATGTTCCCAAAAGATGTATTTTTAATGTGAATACTGTATGACTGAGACGCGATTAGTTTGAGGATTTTCTCATGGATCCAATTAATAGATTTTGACCAAATTTATATGGGACCACCCCTGAAGTACCCCCTTTCTAAGAAAAAAGAATCATTGAAATCGGACACCGTGTTAAGAATTATTGCTGAACATACATAAAAAAAAATTGCGACAACTTGAGAACCTCCTCCTTTTTTGAAGTCGGTTAAAAATGTTTTCGATTTTGTTCTAAATTTGATACAAAAAACACACTGAATCAAAGATTATCAATATTCTCAAATATGGGAGTTATTCCCGAGATTATTCCTTAAAAAACACTGTTGGAATCAGTTTATTAGCGAAGCGAGAGCTAGCATACGATTCGATTAAAATTGGGATATACTCATATGTTCATCTGAGCGGTTATTTAAGTATACTCTGCAAAATTTCAGCGCTCTAAGACTTAAAATTTTAACCGCGTGCCTTTAATCGCGTCTCAGTCATACAGTACTCGCATTAAAAATGCACCCTGTGGACAGGCGACATGAACTAGAATAAATTTCTGACTGATTATTGGGAAACATTTTTTCTTATCGGTTTTCAAGGGGAATTATAAATGTAACAAAATAGGGGTAAAGGGTAACTTTTATGATATTTACCAACATCACCCGATTTTGAGCGCTCGTCATTCCCTTAATTTTTTTTTGTCAAGCTATCGACTCGAACAAAAAAACTATTGTAAAGTTTATTTATTTAGGTATAATGCGGTTTTTGAAAAAAATTAAATACGACAATCCGTTCCGTCCATATCACTCGCGAAATAAAAGTAGTGTTAAACATGGGAACGTGAACTTCAACGACAAGCCATGCCTCTCTTCAGGACTAGAGCCTAGACTAGAAGGTAAACTATAAATAATAATAATACTATGGTAGTACTCTCGCAGGGTTCATTTTGTTCAAAATATCCTTTAGAGGAAGACCGGAAAAGAATTTTTCATTTCAGATCAGCCGTTTGTTCTAAAAAATTGATATAAACAACACCCCTTAAACCGCAAGCAAGATAGTCCCGGAACAATTGAAAGGAGATCATCAGGGCATCGAATTGGATCAACCAATCAACTAACCAACCAATCAACTAATCAATCAATCAATCAATCACTCAATCAATCAACCAACCAACCTATGTTCAGTTTTATTCTAATTTTTTACTTTTATAAAATTAATTGTGTGATAATGCTGTAATTGTGTTAAACCCTTAGATAAAAGAGACCGAAGATGTAACATTGCACACTGCGCATGTTATCTGTTTTAACTCCAAGTAACCCACCAATTGAAAATCATTGTTTGCACGACGCCACCCGAATTGCTCCGATTTCCCATTCAACGCTCACCTCCGCCTGAGTTGTCACCATTGACAGCTGTTTTTTGATTTATTTGTTGGTGTTTTAGCATTTTAAAGTGTTGTAGTTATTTAATTTTAAACTCAAAATGCCACGATGTATCTCGAGAAATTGTATATACTTATAATACAAGTACCAATGTTATGAAATATAAAAAATATATTCGTTTTCAGCGGTAAATATTTATTAACGTTTTGACATAAAGCGCCATAATCCTTTGAACTGAATACATCAGATCCGCATTAAGGGGTTTCAATAAATATTCATCAAATACATATTTCAGAAAACAGATTTCGTATTACTTACATAAATTTACAAAAGGATAAAATTTTAAATATTTAATTTTGTTTTTAAAAAGTAGTTTCTATAAGAATATTTACTAAAGGTGGTTTTTAGCTCTTTTTGGTAGATAAATAAGAAGTAAAAAAGCATAGTTGATTAGTAGTATTTTTATAAGAATATTAGATAAAATACAGGATGAATAACTTAAAATTTTAAATAATCGATTTTAAAGGAAATACAAAAAGATAGTAGATCTATTCAAAATAATCGATTGATTGAAAATAATCGATTTTTTAAAAAATCGATTTATCGTTTAATCGGTGTTTTAATGAATCGATTATTTTCGATTAATCGATTATTTTCAAATTTTCAAAGGTATTATATGAAAATAATTGATTGATCGAATATAATTCGTTATTTTATATAACCAATATTTCGGTTATTTTTTAGAAATATCGATTTATCGGTTAATCAGTTTTTTAATAATTATTAATTATTTTCGATTTATTGATTTTTATCGATTATTTTAGATTTTTCAAAGATAATAGAAAAATCAATTTTAAAGGAAATATGAAAAGGATTATTAGAAAATAATCGATAATTCGGTTATTTTTTTGGAAAATAGATTTATCGTAGAATCGGCTTCTTAACTAATCGATTATTTTCGGTATTTCAATGATAATCTAATCATCGATTTTAAATGAAATACAATAAAAATAAATTATTGATAATAATCGACCATTTTCGATTAATCGATTATTTTCGAATTTTCAAAGGTATATGAAAATAATCGATTGATCGATTATAATCGGTTATTTTATATAACCAATATTTTGGTTATTTTTTAGAAATATCGATTTATCAGTTAATCAGTCTTTTAATAATTATTATTTTCGATTTATTGATTTTTATCGATTTTAGATTTTTCAAAGATAATAGAATAATCAATTTTAAAGGAAATATGAAAAGGATTATTAGAAAATAATTGATAATTCGGTTATTTTTTTGGAAAATAGATTTATCGTAGAATCAGCTTCTTAATTAATCGATTATTTTCGGTATTTCAATGATAATCGAATTATCGATTTTAAATGAAATACAATAAAAATAAATTATTGATAATAATCGATTGATCGAAAATAATCGATTATTTAAAATAATCGACAATTCGTTTTTTTTTTTGAAAATCGATTTATCAGTTAATCGACTTTTTAATTAATCGATTATTTTTGATTTTTCAAAGATAATCAAGTAGTCTATTTTAAAGCAAATACGACAAACAAATAGATTGAAAACAATGGATTGATCGAAAATAATCGATTATTTTCAATGATCGATTATTTATTTCGACAATCACTCATCCTCTATATTAATTAATATTCCTAAAGAAAGAAGCTGAGGTTACAATACAAAACAGCATTTTCTCATTTTGACTAATTTTTAATATTATGTAATAGCCGTAGAAAAAATATAATATTTGACTCAAAAGGTTTGATTTGCAGTATTCGCCTGCGCACATGCTTTTTTATAATACTCGTAGACAATGAGTACCATTTCTTGCTCTATTAACAATATTCTATTTCTGAAAAGTCCATAGTAAATAAACGATAACGAAATATTCTATAAAAGGTCTTCTTTTTACATAAAATGTCGTGCATGTGTTTGATATTAAAAAATCACGTTAATTTTATTTCATAATACAAAATTCCATTAAACATATATTTTAAATAAATCTAATGGTTCATTATGATGCTAATAAACAAAGTCCGGTCCTTGTCACAGAGTTCGGGTCTCTGCACAGTTCCCCCACTCCGTTAACCTTTCTTTAGAAATTGGCAACATTTGCGCAGGTTAAACACCGGTGTATGTTATATCTCTGGTCTCTTTTATCTGAGGTTAAACCAAACTCTTTTGTTTCATAGACCACTTTCAAAATTTTGCTGGATCCGGTGGACATCACTACCAATTTCTAAATCTCGAAAAAAAAAAAAAAGTGAAGATTAGATCTATCTATGGCAACTTGCGTTGTGGCTGAGTTTTAACGACGAATTCAATTAAATTTTAATTGATTGTGCTGTGAGTGGATGTCAAAAAAGCAAAGTTGGCCAAACGAAAAAGTGACTCTATCCAACTTTACTTTTTTGAAATCTACAGTGACTAACAGCACAAGAACCAATCAATTCTCATAAATTTTATTTAGAAAACGTCCCATTCGGAGTGGTAAAAAGAAATCTAGTATATGTCCTTGTGTTGTAGGTATTTATTTAAATTTAAATATATAAATGATTACACTATTAATTATCATTGTAATATAATTAAAATTAAACACTTATAACATAATGTAATTTCTACAATGGTATTTACAAAAAAATATAATTTTAATGAGAGGGATGTACTTGATGGATTGACAGCAAATTATCAATATTTGGCTTGAGTTTTGTAAGGAATAACCGTAAATCTCCCCTTTCTGTGATATTCAATCTGCTCCTTTTTTTTGTTAATAAGTTTGTAACGGCACTAAAACTTTTTTCGACGAGATATGACGAGGGAAACGCTATTAAACTTTTGCACAATTCCACACAGTCCAGGATATTTTTCGGGTATTTCTGCCTGCAGCCAAAATTTTTGATACCCTCTTTTAAATTTCACTTTCAGCTCCTCATTAGTACTAAGCTCGAGTAGCTCCTCTTGTAATATCACATTCTCCACTTCCGTTTCATCAAATGGATTTATGATCCATGGTGGTATTTTCATCGACAGAATATCTTCAAATCTGAATTTAAAATCATCATGCAGGGCAATCAAATGTATGTCTGAATAATTTCATCAAGGCATTCTACCTGCGACAAGTTTGATAACTGTGAAAATTCACGCCGACCAATATTTTCCTTCATAAATTTCAATTTACCAAGAAAAGCTGAAATTACACTCTTTGTTTTTATTAAATTGAGGCTGTCCCCTTGTAATTGTAAGTTGAGGTCATTACATTTTTTGAACAAATCTGTCAAATACGCGATATTGCTTTAAAATTGATTAAGTTTTTTTTTTTAAATCACGATCTTTACTTTCCAAAAACTCGAAAAACTGAGTCAAAAAGTAAATAAAATCTTGATAAACATGCACCTTTCGACAACCAGCGTACTTCGGTATTTGACAGGAATCGTTGGAAGTCTTCATCATTTTCATCGCACAATTGCGCAAATAAACGCGTATTCTGCTTCTTATTTTGTTAACTGCATTAATCACAAATTGAAGCGATTGGTGCAATCTATCACTCAAATTTTTCGCTACTAGATGTTGTTGGTGGATAACACAGTGAATCGCAATTATCTCTGGTATAATTCTTTAAAGATGGCTTATAAATCCACGATATCGCCCGACCATGACAGAAGCTCCATCTGTTGCCACCGAAATAACGTTTGTGAATGGAATCGAATTTTCTTTAAAAAAATCACTCAAATCATTAAATATTGATTCACCTTCAGTGTCCGTCTTCAAAGTTTTCGCGAATGGTACTCTTCATGAATTTCTTCGCCCATAACAAATCGAACATATGCCAATAATAATGCTTCATTGCCAGGTAAAGTTGACTCGTCCAGTTAAATAGAAAAATGAGTTGTTCGTAGATAATCAATCACATAAGAAACTTTCAACATCAGAGCTCATTTCATCAATAAGTCTTCGTATTGTGTTGTTACTCAAAGGAATTTTTTTGAGTATGTCAAATGAAGATTTGTACAGAACAGTTTTTAAACCTCTTCAACAGCAGGTAAAATTAACTGTTCTTTAATGGTGTGCGGTTTTCCAGATTTTGCGATAAGTAATGAGATATTGTAAGATACCCGCAAGCCATCATCGTTGCTTTACCAGACGTTGAAGAGAACATACTGTGCACGGTGGGTCTCTTTTCATATTTTTCCTTTAATGTTTGGAAATATTTAAAATCTTTACCTATTTTATCAGGATGACACCTTCTTAGATGATCTTCCAGCTTTGATGGTTTCATAGAGTCATTGCTCAAAACTTTGTTGCATAAAAAGCATGTGGGCAATCGTTTGTCTGCCTTCGATGAAGAAAACTAAATTTTAAATATTCAACACTGTACTGACAACATTTCTTCTTAGATTCGGCCATGGTTTGTATCAATTACCTACCTGTAAATGTGTAAGTAAATAAATAAAAAAAACTTTATTTTAGTAATCTTAAGGCGATTCGAACTTAACAGGATATAGCTATTTTAACATAATATGATTAATCAATTATTATAAATATTATGAAATAAACAAAGTTCCGGCTGCAAACTGTTTCTAATTATTAAAAGCAATAAATCGCTAAGATCCATAATAGAGTTTTATGAAAACAGCAGAACTTATTTTAATGTGATATAAAATTATTATTTAATTTATTATATTTTTGTAAATTCTATAGAAACTTTTAAACAATATTTTGATATCAAAACTCCGCAATAATTAAATGAATTAGGTAGGTAATAAAAATAAAGTAGGGATGATAAGTTCAATCTTTCTCGGCTTAAAACTATATGCATATAACAAATAGGCAGGTAGGTAGGTACTTACTTTTCCGACACTGGCAATCAATTAAAATAACCGATAAATTTAATTTTTCTCCGTTTTTTGCAGTTTGACCCCAATTTTGACTTCAGATTCGTGTTCAGCGGTAAAAAATACGTCGGAAAATCTTTGTCGAACATCCAGCACAGACCACTTTTTTTTTGTGGACCTGTGTTATCCTTGCCATTCGTATTTATATTGGTGAAGAATGAAACACGTTCATGCAAGATTGTAAGCACATACACCACAAGTCGTATTAATTTGCACGTCTGAACAAGCGTTGCGGACGGGACGGCGGCCGGCGCGGCAACGACAAGTCTCGACGCGTTGATCTGAATATGGAATATGCAAGTTTTTACAAGTAACAGTCGCTGAGCTTCTTAAAATATTATCTGCCTATATTGATAAGAGAAGTCAACATTTTAGTAACTAAAATGTTAACTGTTTATATTATAAACAGTTGAAGTTTTTTTACAAGAATTTCTTCATCACATGGAAAAATGAGTAATCAATTGTTTAATAGTACATCGAAACCAAATTAATTTTCATGCACCCCCGCTTACGATTGTGGACCCCCATATTTTATTACGCCCAACGTAGACCCCCCGTCGAGTCTCCCGTGGACCCCTGGGCGTCCACCTGGACCACTTTGGGAAATACTGTGTTAAACTAATGAAATGTTATTTTAGTTAATACTATTATACATATATACCAAATTAAATAAATATTAATTTGTTGATACAGATTTTAAATTTTGATACATTACACAACTAGAGCTTCTCTCTAGTTGTAAAACGTATTAAGTAGGTAAGAGTATAGAACGCTTGTGCTGCTATAATAATTGCAGGTTCATTAAAAAACACTAGACTATTACTAAAGCATGCATCCCTTGCAATCACCACTAATTATAATAATATTCCTGTGCAGATTATCCAACTAAAACTAGTCTAGCCTGAAGCAGTTAAGAGATAGCAAGTAAAAAAGATGATTTCGGTACCTCTTAAAAAAACATAAACGTTCAGAAAAACTCTTGTAATTATGTTAAAATTAGAACCAAAGTCAGAATGAAGCGTGTTTATTTATAATTTCTACTTATCACATTTTTAATAAACTAGTGTTCGAGAAATAAATCGTAGTAAGGAATGCTCATTTGCTATTCGTAGGAAATGAGTACCTATCTACTATTCCTTGCTTCTTAAACAGTACACTATTTCATCTTTAATTTTTCATCGGATCATTTTATACATGGGCAAATTCAATTAGTCATTAATCCTATATAATTCTCAAAACTTTTATAATTGTTTATAATCTATCAATAAATTACTTTTAATACATTTATCTAAGAGTATAAAAAAATAACTTAAAATCAAAAATAAAGTAGAAATTAAAAATAAATTCGAAATAGATGAAGTAAATATTTTGAAAATAATAATGAACAATAAAAAAGCCTATAGTGGAAACTTTTCCTTCCTTATTAAATTAAGAAAATGTTTATTAGACACTACTTCATTGACGTAATTCTTTAACTAATCTTTCAGCTGTTTCAAACTATTATATAATAATTTTTTTCATTCTGGAATGAATCCTATTAATGTGCATCCGGGCTACCTCAAATACGGATCATAAGTAATATGTACAGAGAAGGGCTTTAAAAATTTAGTACAGGAAAATTCAATAATTCTAGTGAAAAATGAAACATTTACTAATTTATTTTGATTGTTTCCTAGATCATCCGAGATAAAAAGTTATAATATAATATTGATATAACAACTATATTGAAACCAAGTTGAACTGATCAAAAAAGATTGATCAAGTGTTATGAGACAGGAAACCACATTTACATAAGTTCTGGGTAAGCTAAAAAATATATAAAGGGGTCTAAAATAATATTTGATGGGTACTACTTTGTGCTTTCAATGTTCAACTATGATCATAATATTCGTTACCTAAATTAAATTTCGAATCATATTAATTGCAGTTAATCCTGACAAAAATTATAGAATATTAACTTCCTTTTCATAAAAGACAGCTTAATCTTATCTAATTTTAATAGTCGTTCAGGTAAAACCATATAATGGATGTTTTTTCAATTACTTATGATAATCACAATGCAAATTTAAAAAATGAAACCACAATGACAGGAATATCGTGTATATAATTTCCGAATTAAATAATTTTGATAATCATTGCTAACAGTTATGATATATAGTACGTATGTCACGGATACAGCAATATAGAATTACAAAATTGATTGACTTGCCTATAAGCAAATCATTCTGAATTTGGATTGAGCTTGCTTACATGTACGCCAACCAATCTTGTAATGTGTCTTTACTTATTCTCGTATACAAGTGTAGGATGTGTAGATAAAACATTTTGGGGAAAATAAACCTTTGGATTGTTTCGTTTACAATAACCACAAAAAAAATAAAAATAATGAATGTAATTTTTTAATTCTATTTTTTTTAATTTTCCCTGCAACTTTTTTTCAAATTTTGTAAATGATATGTCGTACAATACTATCTGAATAATGCCTATACGTACATTTAGTATCTAATTAAAACTAAATTTTCCAAAATTGTGGTAAATCTGGGTACAACGTAGAAACTTGGCAACGCAAATGCACATTGTATGCCAACAAATCAGAAGGAGCGTGAATGGATAAAACATTATGTGCACGTGAGCACGTGATCCCAGCGTGTGTTGTCGAAGACATTTATCAAGGAACGTCTGCTTTTAAAGTAAATTAATTATTAACGACTAAGATAATTTCCATGGGATAAAATTAAATATCGACATAGTCGTTTTCATTACGGAGCTTAGAGGGCAAAAACGAATTTAAAATACATAATATTTGTAGACAAAATGTAAACGTACCTATAATCCAGTAGGTATCTATCTCGCTTTACTAATCTTATAATTGATAATAATAATGACCAGGTAAAAATTGGTTTTCTATTACCCTTTCATAAATTTCTATGAACCATCTCATTAAACAGATAATACCTATATGGCCCTTTAGACCGGGATGAACACGATCGTCACGATCTAAGTTTGCAATAGGTAATTAGTACAGATTGTGAATTCAAAGAGTTTGTGTATAGGTATGTCGTAGCCAGATTACAAAACCCGTCAGTTTATAAATTGCCTAGGCGTTTTATAAATAGCGGCCAAATTGTCAAATTTTCATCATCCTTTTATTATTTTACTATCTGGCTAGACGGATTATAAAATGACTACATAGGCGTTTTATAAAACGACGGTCAACACGCGGCCAGATTGTCAAATGTTGTAGATTATCGTCCATTTGACATTCCGGCGGGTAAGGAGTTTCAGTCTTGTAAAACACTGCCGATTTTCGAACATGAATAATTTAATTTTGGCCGGTAACAACTGTGTAAATGAAAATTGTTCAAATGCAGCAAAAGAAAAAAAATCAACTGCAGTGCACATGCCAAAAATGTGTAGCTGACCAAATGGTCCAAATCACAAAAAGAAAATTGAAAGATTTGCTGGTGGAGGAGCATGTTTATGTAGCTGTTCTAAAATTTGATAGGGGTCCGCTTGATCCTAAAGCTATGATAGAAACTATTCTTGATGTATGAAATTGAGTATACCAGATAGGAACTGAACATGGGCGCCTAAATCGATGGTTTTCTAGAGACCAACTTAACTTATTTGGTACGTCAAACTTATTTCCATTCGTTACACTAGAAAATACCAGTATTACGTTAAAATAATATATTTCTAAGGTTTTTCAGTTTGGGGATAAGGGTTTAAAAAATGCCAGTGAAAACCTAGTAATAGTAAAGTTCAATGGTGTACACACAACTATCTAATGTTCATTCGTTCTTCTGTTTCATTTGTTCTATTTATTAAAAAAATATGTAAAATATTCGTTATAATATTATGTTGTGTAACCCATTAAATCCATAAATAAAAATTTTGATTGCCTTAACTTTTAAATAAAATTCGTATTTTACAAAACAACTAGAACATTTCACCCGCCAGAATGTCAAATCTAAAACATTTGACAATCTGACCACGTGTTGACCGTCATTTTATAAGGCATGTTACAATCCGACTAGCCAAATATAGAAATAATGAATGTTAAACGAGAATTTGACAATCTGGACATTTTATAAAAGGCGGGTTTTACTATTTAGCTACGACATATAGACAGCGAAAATAGCGTGATATGTGTTTTTAGATGTATATGTCGTAGCCAAATTGTAAAACCAGTCGTTTTATAAAATGTCTAGACATTTCACAAAAGGCGGCCAGATTGTCAAATTCTCATTTAACATTAATTATTTTCCGATCTGGCTAGTCGGATTGTAAAACGCCTAGGCGTTTTATGAAATGACGGTCAACACGCGGCCAGATTGTCAAATGTTTAAAATTATATTCTGCTTGACATTCTGGAAAGTGAAATGTTTTAGTCGTTTTATAAAATACGAATTTTATTTTAAAGTTAGGGCCATCAAAATATTTAATTATGGATTTAATGGAATTAAAACATTTTATAACTAATATTTAACATATTTTTCTAATAAACAGATCAAATTAAACTGAAGAACAAATTAAACTCTAGAACAAATAAAACAGAAGAACAAATGAACTACAAACAACACTTGCTAAGCTTATAAGAACCAATAATAGTCTTAGATCCGACCGTACTGCACTGTTTTTTATACAAAATATGGCTTTTAAATATTACTTAAAGATATATTTCTGTTATTTATGATTATAGAAGAAAATTCTTTCAACCAGATTTGTTTGTGGTGTTATTTTCTATAATTTTGTTCAAATAAGTGATTTTAATACATAGACCGTACTGGAGAAATTTGAGGAAAAGTGCAAAATTTAATTGTTAGTATTTTATTTATTAGAACACGGACCATTTTAATGACACCTACAGTGGCATTTTCCCCGTGCGTTAAAACCAAGACATTTGTCTGTAAAGTATTTAAACCTTACTAGGTTTTCACTGGCTTTCTTTAAACCCTTATCCCCCAAATTAAAAACCCTTAGAAATAGCTTCTCTTAACGTAATACTGGTATTTTATGGATTTAAGTTTGACGTTCCAATTGAGTTAAGTTGGTCTCTAGAAAACCGTCAATTTAAAGCCAATGTTCAGTTTCTATCTAGTATAATCCACATCAAGAATCAAGCTTTTAACACAGCTTCAGGGTCAAGCGGATCCCTGGCAAATTTTGAAAATTTTATAGAAATATGCTACCCCACCTGCAAATATTTCCATTTATTTTTGTGATTTGAACCATTTGGTCAGATACACGTTTCTAATCTATTTTGCACCGTATTTTTATTACTTTTTCTTTACAGCAAAGATTACACTTCCCTTTAATTTTATCAGTTACCTACTGCGAAATTATTCATTGTACATGTAGTTTCTTTATCATTTGATTTTTTTATTTTCTGTATTTTCACTTATACAGTTGTTATCAGCTAAAATTAAATTGGCAGTGCTTTACAAGATGACTGAAACTACTTACCCGCCGGAATGGCAAACAGAGGATAATCTTAAATATTTGACAATCTGGCCGTGTGTTGACCGTCTTTTTATAAAAGGCCTAGGCATTTTATAATCCGGCTAGCCAGATAGTAAAATAATGAAAGATAAACGAAACTTTGACAATTTGGCCGCTATTTATAAAACGCCTAGGCAATTTATAAAACGACGGGTTTTGTAATCTGGCTACGACATATATACATTTATATTTAATGTACCTACTAATAACGTTATGCGTATATAATTGGTATCCTTGACTCCCCAAGTTGCAGCTGTGGTGAAATTGGAAGTTTAGGTCATATCTTGATGGAATGCAGTAATAATACGTACAATATAAAATTCTTATACCAAAAAATGGTTTTAGCTTTTCGACCCCAGTATTCCCCTTTATGTCTAAATGATTATTTACGAAAACCAATTTGCAGTACAGCCATAATCACGTCATTTTTAAAATATTCTAACATTAATTTATAAAAAATATTGTTCACCTTATTTTTTTTTAATTTTACAGAGCCAAATAGTATTTTAAATTTTATTGTATTTATTTACATGTAACTAATGTTAGTGCTGGTTAAACAACTTGTATAAGTTGAGACAAAAAAAAAAACGTGTGGTATGGTGGACTCTGTATAAGTGAAACTTTTTAAAAATGCAAAAAATGTAACAGTGAGCAAAAGGTAGTAAAATATAAACCCTGCCGACATTCAAAGATTGTAGATTTTCACATAGGTCATAAATTTGAAATACGTGACACTATACCTAACCTAATGTAGAACGCCCTAAAAGAAAGAAAATGTCTCTTTAGATTCAGTGTTAGGAAAATTAAAAAAGGGCACTCGTTAATTTGGATTTGGAAAAAAGCGTATGAGAATGTGAAAAGTTAATAGAAGAATGGTGGATTCGGAAAAATCGCATCAAAGAAATTAATCCTAATGAGGAAAGCTACACGACAGTGAATAACGAGCCAACAAATCTATTTCTCTTCATCAAAAAGTAATAAATAAAAACAGGACGTCCCAATAAAAACATGCAGTGTATACACGAGTTTTGGATCCCGCGGAGCGCGTGTATATCTTACCTAAATGTATCACCATGTGATTGAGCTGTATTGGTAGGTATCTTAATCAAAATAGTAGTCCATCTCACAGTGCAATGCAGATAATAAAGCTACTAACTACTTTGGCACATATTTTTTACTTTTTGTACCATCATAATGTATTTACCCAAAAATAAATAGGTTATAATTTTTTGTCTCTAGTCATTACATTCAAATAAACCTTTAAAATGTCTTCGGCGCCTATGATATTTTATTAAATGTGTGGCGTTAAGAAATTGGATTACGATCTTTGACCCTTTTTTTTAATAAAACTCGGCAGTTGGTGATTGTGATTATGCGATTAAAAATTTAAGGTGTTTATGTTTTCTGCTTATCACGTAACTTTTAGATAGGTTAACATAACTATATAAAATAAAAAATAATTTATTTATTTATTTGTACAAGATAATTGGAACAAATTAGGTATTCTATGCCAAAAGATAGAGATTACATTTTTTTCAGCTGAAAAAGAGATAGTTTATGAACTATTTGTTTCACTATACTCTATAGCAGGGTTGTTGTGTCATGAGGCCCAATATTCGCTACGACTTTCTTTTAAAAAATATAGAAATATGCCTAAAAAAATAAAATATACATAAGTCATTCCACTGGCCGGCGATGGATAGAAGGCTGCAACGAAGTTACTGGAACATCTCGATTCTTGCTGGACCGCATTGAACATGAATCATTTTTACATTACTAAAAGTAGAAAATTACTTTCAGATTTTAACAAAAATTAAGTAAATGAAAGAAAGTGAAGTTAGAATAGTAGTAGTATTAATTTATCCGAAATACAATATCCTAATCAGTAACGTGTATTTGACGTCGCATTGATGACATAGAATAGACGTCACTTAGAATTCGTCATAATTACGTTATTTTTTCGTATATTTTAATACTTAAGTGTTGAATTATAAAAGAACCTAATTGGAAATCTGCTTCAACTGAAAACACGTATATATTAAGTTAGTTCGAGCTGCAGTTTGTAAATTTTTTTGGTAAAATTACGGTGCCTTATGTTTTGATATGGATAATTAGTAACGTTCCGTTTTTTAGCATTAATCATTCAATATTTTGTTGCCTGTCTCTTTTTAACGTATTGCTAACCCAATTCCGATGTCCTCGAATATCAAATAGCAATAAGTTTTGCTAATCTAGTACAATTGTACTGGATCTAGTACATCCTAAAGGTAACAGGTACGCTAGAAACGAAATTCAGTACATTGTCCGCAATCGTCCAGTGTAATTAATATAAGTTATACTAGTAAAAGTACTAAATGCTAAAAGTAATAAATGCTAAACAATTGATAATATTCCTAGGGCAACCAGAGAGAAAACCGATCCTAGTACATTTTAATGAAATCTTGTACAATTATACCAATCTAGTACGTAAAAAATAGAATGTGACAAAATAATAAAGTATATTAAACCGAATTTGATATTTTACAGATGTATTGCATTGTTGAGTTTGAAAAACCGGATGATGACGGTTTGGCGGTTGTGAGGTGAGCAGAAAATGGTTGACGCTGCGTAAAAAACAAGTCTTTTGGCCGCCTTTATAAAGAAATATAATATAAGACTGGTGAGTAATGTTATACTTTTATTTTTTGATTATGAGTTCTTCCAGGGTATTTTTTTAATAGTTTATTTAAAAATAAAAGATTTGTAGGGGTCACTTGATTTAGGTACCTTTTATCATCTCACAGAATATAATATGATCTTTTTTCTTATTAACTTTTATTATAAACTCAGACTATATGTTTACCTCTGAGAAGGTAGTTTTTGAGGCTACTACCTCAATCTCCAGTGAAGTAATCCCCTCAGATTTTACAACTAAATACACAATTTACTTTCTATCTTTAAGAATTTTCAGTGGTCTGTATTTTAATAGTTCTTTTATTTTAGATGATAATGATAAGTGATGTACCAAATTAAAAAAAGTTGAAGTTACCTCAGATCTACATTCCGAGGCTGATAAAGTACCTACTAAAAGAAAACAGGTGCCAATTAGAAAGCTGCCATTCGATGACTGAAGATGATGAAATCGTAACGCATGCTCGCCCACCCCCAATCAAAATTAAATCTACAATAATTTTAGGTATGTTGTGTCAGTTCCTCTAATATTCTTTTGTCATTTTATTCCTTTTGGTATCTTGCTCATGACTTTTTTATTTCCAGTGTAATTTATTTTTTATAATATATTTTTCATGTGTTTTTTGGATTAAATAAACAACTTTCATCTGCTGAGTATTTTTAATAATTCCATCCAACCTTGGGACACCCAATATAGATATCACTTTGACGTTAGGTAGATTCGTGATAATGACGTGATAATAACAAGAGAAGGTTTAGTGCGGTGAAAAAATATAAAAGATAAAAGGATTATTGGGCAAATACCGCATAAAAATGAAAAAAAAAAGGCCTAAAAGGCAAACCGTAGACACGTGTTTCTGACTATTGGTCTTCATCAGTACGGTGCAGCCAAGTTCAAAAGAGAATGGAACTAGCTAATATTTTCCTAGTAATCACTGGGAATGTTAGCACAGTCCACAAATGTGTGGTTGGCTTCTTGAGTGATCTCCTATTGATTTGATTTCATCGCTAGTTCCATTCTCTTTTGAACTTGGCTGCACCGTACTGATGAAGACCAATAGTCAGAAACACGTGTCTACGGTTTGCCTTTTAGGCCTTTTTTTTTTTCATTTTTATGCGGTATTTGCCCAATAATCCTTTTATCTTTTATATATATATGGTCGGGAAAATTTCAATTCTGACTCAACGGCACACTCCGTCCGTTCTACCCGTTTCTCGAGCCTCAGCGACATTCCCAGAATATTCCATCGCCTCTAGCATGAATCGGCTGCCCAGACGTGAAGGTCGCGTGCTTAGACAGAGTCGGACTCAATAATTTCATGACAGAATGTTCCTTAATGGGCGTTTTTAAGACATCCTGATTATTAACAATGGACGTTCCAAAGACGTCCATAAGACGTCCACGTCCGTGAAATGGACGTTGTAAGGATGTCCTAAATGTCCAAACAGGACGTTAAGACGTATTTGTGCTATCTGGGCTCTTACTCCCGGCCGATGCATTCATTTTTTCTTTCTTTAATTCTGTTTTTTAATTTTTCTTTGGTTTGTTTCCACTTTGGGGAGTAAGGGTGTAGTTTCCATAATTTTGGAGATTTTTTATTTTCATATTTATAAAAAAATTAAAAATTAAGTAGTTTTACTCAAAGACAATATATAACCTACCTAGTTAATTAATTTCAATTGTACCTACCTCTAAACGATCTTTATAAATATTTTTACATTTTTCTGGTCTAATTTATTAGCTTACAATACAATTGCATGTTTCAAAATTTACATAAATAAAAATTAATGAATTTCGAATTGCCCTGTATAACAAGTGTACTTTAGCCATGTTGTTCTGTTTTTTTCCATGTGTAAAGTGCATAAAGCTCGCCTACAGTCTTGCTGGTGTAACAATCTCATTGACATGATAAAAAAAGTTCAACAAACCTACTTCCTTTTAAGCTTTATTACTTGTCTGTGTTAATAAATTAGATAATATTGATTGAAAGATCAATATTTTATTTACTTTTTAAGATTTAGCCTAGATAGTTTTGTAGTTTAAAACGCAAAAGATATTTTTAGGTCGAAAAATCTTCGTAAATTTATAGGATGTTACAAATATTTATTTAATATTATCATGTTTAAACAATCAAGTGTTTAAATGTCTACAGGTGACTATCCTGTTGACAGGTTGAGATCTACGTATTTTCTAAAATCACAATACATTAGCTACCTACCTACCGATCCAAATTAAAATTACAAAACATAAATGCAAATGGCTATAAAATTCCATTATTATAAGGTATCACTATGTACTTGGCACGCTACAGATGTTTAGGCAATTCACTTTTTTCTAAAAGGCACTATTTTTGATACAGTTTCATCAAGTTTTTGCTGAATATCAATATCTTTATTTGTTTCAAAAATATTAGAGGGGTGACTTTATGGTCAGGCTATTAAAGTAAGGGCTATTAATTCTCGTTGACGATACTACTTTAATGTTCAATAGATATTAAAATGTGTCAAATGAGACAAAAGTGATAAAAAATAAAATTAAAGTTTATCAAGAATAATCCCAAAAAATATTTTAAAAACGCTTATTCTATTATTCATAGTTTGTATTAAAAACATGTTTACTGAATAAAATGTGTTTCGTTGTCACAATTTTGATAAAATTAGAATTATATAATCGGAATGTAGACGTCTGGAAATCCTTAGACTAAATTATCAAGGAAGGAGTTATCAACCTTTTGATGCACTTCAAGACTTTAACAGATAAGAAAGTATAACATGTATACTAACAAGATACAAAATTTTTCAATATATAAAAAAAACTATTAAAATGTAACTATTGAATGGATTCGTAAGGTGCTCTCTTGTGAAAATAATTATTTTTCCTAAAATTGATTGAGTCCAATAATCAATTGCGGATCCTTAGTTTTTGGGGCTCTGTGATAAGAAAATTGTATTTTCGATAAATAAAAAAATTAGGATAAAACATAAATTTGTAAAAAAATAGAGTGGTAATGAAAATAAAATGCTAAACATATTAACAAGAATTGTATTTAACAATAATACTGATACCCTGCTGATACCAGTAATACGTAATAAAAATAGGTACTTAAAATGTATTAAATACAGAGTGAACCACAAAAACAAAAAAAGCTTCTAAAGTATAGTCTGTTGCAATTTACAGTAGAAAATCGTCTCGCTTTAAACATGAAGGAAGGTTTTGTAGTAGCCGGAACAGTGACGATGCTCCCAAATGGGCTTTAAAAATTAATGTTTTCTGTAAACTTAATATAAAAAACCTTTCCCGCAAGATTCGAGCCAAAAATCCCAGAGACCAATTTTACAGCGAAAGTAACGCGTAAAGTAAAGATACATGAAACTAGTCATTTTATATTTTTCAATATTTTTCTG